TAGTTAATTTGTAAAATTTACTGATAGCACTAAACTCTTGAGTATTTCTAGCTGTACTGAGGGATGTTGAGGTACTAAAACTAACTAATTGATCTATGACATTCTGTCTGGGATAAATATTTGTCAGTTGAACTTTTATTACAGATTGCTGGTCAGACTGTACTGTTAGAATTATACAGTTGGTAGCAATTTTACACAGACCTCTTACTCAAGAAAGTTAGACATTCCATACTCAACATCTTTCCCATACAACAGTCTCTCTCCACTGAACTCTCACTCTTGGGCTATGTCAGTTTTTAGAGCATTTATCACAATTTCCAGCCCAAAATTTGATACTCTTTTCTACTGTGCTGGTCACCAAAATGCTGACATTGTGGGCTGGCTGGCATCTGTTCAACCACTGACTGGATCTGATAGGCTCTACCATCTTTGATGCATAGCAAAGTATGGACAGTTCTTTTGTAAGTACTCCATTAGAGCACAAGTGAAGCAGATGCTTATCTCTTCCCATTTTGGACAATGTCTGTCTAGACAGATGCATTGGCCATGACTACAGTATGTATTCCTTGGATGGATCTTGCTGAAGCATATATCCCGTGGATAAACCTTGTTTCAGCATTTACCCTGTGAACAAACCTGTGCATAGCCCTGTAGATGGCTGATCGTTAATCCGTTAAGTGGGTCTAGCTTGGCATGGTTGAAGAATCTGGGTCACACCCTCTGTTGGTAGAGTTGCCAATACAGCTGTTGCTGTAGGCTTCTTTCTAACAGGAAGTTTGATGTGACCGCTTCAAGTTGTTCCATGATGGGCAACACTGCTTCCCTGAAAGTAGTGATGTCCTTCAATCTCATGTGCTGGTGCATAAGCTCATTAGGATGTCTCTCAATAAACTTATCAACCAAGATATCCTCCAGATTTGCAGAGGCTATTGCTGGGTATGGTTTTCTATGAAATCAGCACAGCTCATCCATGTAGGTGGCCAGTTCCTCACTGCTGAACTTCTTCTGAGCCTTGAACTCAGCCTAATAGATTGCTTGATTCTATATAGCAATACAGCTCGTTTGTGACTGTATCCCAGTTATCCTGCTGCTTCTCATCTTGCACCTGAGTCCATTTATTGTAGGTAGTAACCTGCCTAAAATATTTTAAATTTTAGGAACTGGTCTAGGTCCTCTCTTGCTGTCATCTTTAATATCAGGGGCTTGTTCTGCTTGTATTTACTCACAGGAGTATACTGTTTGCTTGAGTGTTCACAAGCAAGTCTCCCTGAGTCAGTGGTTGCAGGCTGACCAATGTTCTAGATGTTTGCAGCAATAGTGAAAGTCCTATGTCCAGAAAATGACTTCTACTACACTTTACATATTTCCCATGCAATTGTCTCTCTCTCCACTAAACTCTCATTTGTGTGTGTGAGTATCAAAGGACTTTAGCCTATTGATCCTGTAGATAGTCTTGTAAACTTCAATAATATTACCTTTTAACCTTCTATTATCAGAAGAAAATAAGTTTGAGGTTTTAACCTATCTCTATAAGATAACCTTTCCACTTACAGAATAATCCTAGTAGCCCTCTGCAAAACCTATTCCATTAACTCAATATCCTTTTTTAGATAAGGGGACCACAACTAGAATTCATAGTCATTTCTGTGGCTTGCCTTCCTCCTTTTAAAAATGATTATGTAAACTTTAAGTTTGACAAAAATGAATTGTATACCATTATTTAAGATTTTTCTTTCTTTTTGTTTTGTAAGTAATTTGCAATTTTGTATCTGACACCTGTGCTTAGATTTATACAAAGTTAACCAAGAATATAACTCTGACACATTAATAATGAATTGTAGAATTTCCTGTTGAAAAGCCAAATCACAATTGTTGAGATATTTTCAACATTTGGAAACTTTCAGTTTTGAAGCACAGGATTGAGCTCCTTGTTTTGAGTTTAGGTGCATAACATAACATAATGTTTTGGGACAACATGGGACCTATTGGTCCATTTCAGCTGTTCCATCCTCTAAACTAAATTCAAATAATTTGAAAAAAAAATCTTAAAGCCAGCCTTTATCATTCATATACTTATCAAGCTTTTCCTTAAACTCACTGAAAATTTACTGCCTCTACAACATCCAAAGAGAACCCATTCCAAAGGCCAATCACCCTGTTAAAAAAATGAAACTGTCTTTGCTGAAAATGTCCTCTAGTCCTACTATTCTCACTGTTAAATATGAAAAAAGACGATACATCAATGCTAGCAATTCCCTCTACAGTCTTAGACACCTCAATCAGATCCCCCTAGCTCTTCTTTTTTTTGAGAGAAGACAATTTGAGAGATTTCACTCTCTCCTTGTATGATAACCCCTCAATTCAGGCACCATTCTAGTAACCCTTCTCTGAACCCTTTCCAACAGATCAATGTCTTTCCTGAGGTAAGGAGCCCAAGACTGAACACAATATTCCAAATGTGGCCTAACTAGTGACCTGTACAATGAAATTATAACCTCTTTAGACTTATATTCAATATTTCTATAGATACAACCTAAAATCCTATTTGACCTACCACTAGCAACAGCACACTGTTGGATGGCTTTAGAGACTGATTGACTATTACACCAAGATCCCTTTCCTTCAAACACAATTAATGTTATTCCCATCCAAATTACACTTATAATTCAA